CGCAAACACTGGTTAAGATTAGTAAGTTTGTCTTTGTCAGACATTATTTTCTTACGCCATTATATTTTTATGGCTCTGGTTATCTCGTGTTTTATTTTCATCTTATTTTGCTAAACTGCGTCGTACCAAGTACGTAAAGGCTGTGGAGACATATATTTGGTAATCGCATGTTCCCTCAATTTCGGAGTCAAACTTGAAAACAAGTCATTGAAAGCCTCTTCGTGTCATACCTAGAGCCTCTTTGCATCAAAACACATAAAACTGCCTCCGGGGAGGGTGGTTCCCATGGTTCCCGTCAATGGGTCCTAATTTTGAATTGGATATTTCCCTGACGACAATAATGGGCCGTGACTATACCTGGAGGTGCTAGAAGAACAACGTTATTCAGGCGAAAGACACGATGCATGTGAAATACAAAACGTCCCACACCCTAAGACCCGATGTAGGCCAATCCGCACCGGCCCGCACGTCACCTCGCCGGTGCGTGCACGACATATAGGCCGCTAATCGCGGCACGGTGGTATACAGTAAAGGTAACCGCGTTGCACGCCACAAATATCGGACATGGCGAATAGTGCACGAACATTACGCACGTTTCGGCCATTCAGGCTATCACGTCCTATCGCTCGATATACGGTCCTGTGCCAAGGGCAGCCCAAAACACAGGCGACCAGGCTGAAATGCTTCGATGAGCCGTACACAGCACAAGCATAGAATGGAGCTTGCCGGCGGACATCAGTTCTGTCTCATCGGCTCTGCTTCATCATCGATGTGATTAGCTAACTGCATGGTAAGCCTAATGCCTTGACGTATTACCCCGGGCCACTGTGCCACAGACGTTTTCTACAGCTGACGATAATGAGGCAGCCGAAGGCTCGGGCCTCCGCCCTGCCGTGTTTGCGCTCTACCCTAGCTCCACTCTGCCATGTTTGCGCTCTAGCCTACCTCCGCTCTGTCGTGTTTGCGCTCTAGCCTAGCTCCACTCTGCCATGTTTGCGCTCTAGCCTAGCTCCACTCTGCCATGTTTGCGCTCTACCCTAGCTCCGCTCTGCCATGTTTGCGCTCTAGCCTACCTCCGCCCTGCCGTGCTTGCGCTCTACCCTAGCTCCGCTCTGCCATGTTTGCGCTCTAGCCTACCTCCGCCCTGCCGTGCTTGCGCTCTACCCTAGCTCCGCTCTGCCATGTTTGCGCTCTAGCCTACCTCCACTCTGCCATGTTTGCGCTCTATACCCTAGCTCCACTCTGCCATGTTTGCGCTCTAGCCTACCTCCGCTCTGTCGTGTTTGCGCTCTAGCCTAGCTCCGCTCTGCCGTGTTTGCGCTCTAGCCTACCTCCGCTCTGCCATGTTTGCGCTCTAGCCTACCTCCGCTCTGTCGTGTTTGCGCTCTAGCCTACCTCCGCTCTGTCGTGTTTGCGCTCTAGCCTAGCTCCGCTCTGCCATGTTTGCGCTCTAGCCTACCTCCGCTCTGTCGTGTTTGCGCTCTAGCCTACCTCCGCTCTGTCGTGTTTGCGCTCTAGCCTAGCTCCGCTCTGCCGTGTTTGCGCTCTAGCCTACCTCCGCTCTGCCGTGTTTGCGCTCTAGCCTACCTCCGCCCAGCCGTGTTTGCGCTCTAGCCTGGGTCGACCCTCCAGAGACGGAAGTCTCAGTAGCGTGATGCTTTTAATGCTCCAGTGCACAAAAGAAACCATGACCATGTTACCACCACCCGGCACCACCTGTGCGAGACAGCTGATCATCCGCACCTCGTATCCGACGTCATGCATGCGTCAACCGCGCACTTCTCAACTGGGTTTTCGCAGGCTTGGTCCGGCATTTAAGCGACTTGGCCAGGCCACAACAACAGGCTATACGATTATCTGGGCTCTTTCCATGAAAGAAAGGAAGGCAGATGAGTGGAAGCATGAAAGTATTAGTGCCAACAGCTTGGCTATAACCTAGTCGTCCGTTGATTACGTCACGCAGTTTGATCAATTTCAACCCCCTCACCTTGCACTGGTCTCACAGGGCAGCAATTCTCCCCCTCTGGTTACGCTGTGCTGAGCGTAAACTTCGAAAAAGGCAATGTCCGCTTAGGCGCTTGAAGTGCCAGAGACGCGAAACAACAATGGACGTACTGCTTGTCACGAGAGGACAGTGGTATACAGTTTGGGCAGTTAGTCTTATGAAGCTTCAACATGTTTTCCATCACGGCTGGGCATAACGCTACAGCTGGACGCAATGTTATTGCAAAGCAGAACTGCAGTCCCTGTCATGTCGAAAAGTCCTGCACTCCCGCTAATTTGCTGGGGACCAATTTCGCGGCGATAAAAGATTAAAGAACGTTCGTAAGTCCCTGTTCAGTCTCCAAAAGTCAAGTAATTCGCTCTCTTTGTATTGCGGATTTGCGCAACCCAACATGCAAGGCAAAGGAAGCTTAACAAGCTATCACAACGGTCCCGCTTAGCTTTCGGTAATCAGTTTTTAAGGGACAACGGAGTCGCTGCCATTCGGGGCCGGCCTGAATGTGCCATTCGACAGCAGACAGTGGAGGCGGAAGACATTAGCAGACAGCAGCAGACTCTTCAATGCAGTGACATCATGAGATAGAGTACAGACAGCATATAACAGGCCCACACAGCGAGCGACAGGACGCTACAAACGACTGTAGTCTCACAATAGTCGTACCTGTTTTCGATACGGAGACGTTTTGGAACGTTCGCTATGAACGTGAATTACCACTATACATTGGGGTGTGGCGTGGAAGGGGGGATCTCTTGGAATCAACTGAGACAAAGTTTTTCCTTGGCACATGGATAAACAATCTATTTTCCGGTATGTCGTACCGCACCGATGTAAATATTCGTGAGCCAACAGCGCATTTTCTTTGGTGAGCCCAGAAAATCGGATTCGATACTAGCGCCACCTACTTTGCGCAGTGACGCATTCCGCCAGCAGCCCGCGATCTTGTATTTTCCCACACTACCGGTACCTGGTGGAGTAAGCATGAAATAAATAAGACGAATAACATCAGCGAGAAATTGCCAAAGCAGCTAGCAAGTGTACTTTGCATTAAAAATATAATTTTTGGTAAACAGCGAAACTGTGGAATTATGAGAATGCTCCAGCAGACTGCGATAACTTCAAGGTTCCTATTATTTAGGCATCATTGTGGTGTTGAATTTCAGTTTGTATGCTTGTTGAAGTTGGTTATAAGGTCTTATTAGTTCAGCTTTGCCGGCACTGGTGCGTCTATGTCGAGCAATTACTTGGAGAAGCGTGTCGAAATTTACGCGGTTACGCACAAAGCATTTTGTATAGACCGCCTGGCTCCACTGTTCCACCAACTGCCAACTATGGGGGAAACCTTGAGTTACATCAAATGGCTGAGCGAACCGAAGAAAATATCCACTAATATCAACTTCAAGACCGTGAATGCAGAGTTCACGAAAATGACCAACGGAGGGATCCCTGTACATGATCTAAAATACGTGCCAGAAGTTATCAAGGGGGATTGATATGATCCATACAGAAGTATAAGAACGAAATCAAAGAAAAAAGAGAAGGACATAACAACGCCAAATTTAACAACCGCGAAATTAAACGAGCTTCTGACGTCGCGAAATGCAAGAGCAAGTTCCAGCTCAGCTCCTGACGCCCAGTTGCTTACAGAGTGCATCAAGAGGAATTTGCCTTCTTGAGGGACCAGTGCTGGCACCGGACGCTTACCCTGGGGTCATATAACCGGACTACGTCTGTAACTAGGGAGGCTCATGAAGTGCGGAGGGTGGCCAGACAACCCCAGGGGCGCCGTGGCTTGGCTGCCAGCAAAACGGTATCTGCTGCTGAATCTGAGCCGCCTCGCGCCGCCTGCTGAGCCCGCGCTGGCTGCTAGTGCTGAGCTGCTGAGCTGCTGAGCTGCTGAGCTGCTGAGCCTGCTTCGGACCAAGAAGTCTCAGCGCTGGAGAGTCGACCGAGAGTACGGATTCTGACACGACTCCGCACATGGTGAAAGGTGGCGACGACGCCCCTTTGCTCGTTCCGAGTGAGACCGCTGTCACTGCAGATAACAACTTTAACTATCTTTCTAAACTATTCTAACAGCTAAACCAACCAAGGCACGTCTTAGAGAAGTGAACGCTAAGAAGCTGTGTTATCAAAGGACTCGTACAATGACTTCATACTCAATAACACATTAAGTTTCTGTCGTATGACAATCAATCGAGCAGTGTCTGCTCCGCATATTAGACCTTAGACTTGGACATTTTCGCACAACGCTTTAAGAAGCGCTCTGTTTCATTCGTGAAGCTATTTTGCATCGCTTGCCACCCACGGCTTGATGTTACCTGCGCCGGCCGCCGCCGCCGCATACCGTTTGCCTCCGCGTGTGTCGCCGCTGCCCTCACGTGTGTCGCCGCTGCTCCCGCGAGTGTCGCCACTGCCCCTGAGTTTTTTGCCGCTGCCCCCGCGAGTGTCGTCGCTACCCCAGCGAGTGTCGCCACTGCCCCTGAGTTTTTCCCGGCTGCCCCCGCGAGTGTTGCCGTTGACCCCGCGTGTGTCGCCGCCGCCCCCGTGTGTGTCGACGCCGCCGCGGCGAGTGTCGCTGTTGACCCCGCGTATGTCGCCGCTGCCCCCGCGTGTGTCGACACTACCCTGCGAGTGTCGCCACTGCCCCTGAGTTTGTCGTCGCTGTTCCGCGTATGTCGCCGTCGACCTCGTATGTCGCCACTGCCCTGCGAGTGTCGCCACTGCCCCTGAGTTTGTCGTCGCTGTCCCCGCGTGTGTCGCCGCTGCCCTGCGAGTGTCGCCACTGCCCCTGAGTTTGTCGTCGCTGTCCCCGCGTGTGTCGTCGTCGACCTCGTGCGTCGCCGGCTGGCCGTCCGCGGCGGTTCGATACAGAGCCGGCGTCACAGTGCAATCGGCGGCCGCGCACTGTTTACCACATTGCCATAGCAATGCTGGTCGGGCACATGCAGGGCCGGGACACGGCGCGGCAGCACGGCACGACGCAGCGCAGGGCAGCAGACGGCGCGCCGGTCCGGCCGACGTCCAGCTCTGCGGCCGGCGGTGGTCACGGCGATCCGCCGGGATGGCGGCGGACTGAGTGGCGCCTCGGCACGGACATCTGAACAGAGTGGCGCGTCGGCAGCAAGGACCCCACACAGAGCTTGTGTCTGTGTAGCGCGGATCTCTGCAGGGCTCGCGTCGGTGTAGCGCGGATCTCTGCAGAGTTCGTGTCGGTGTAGCGCGGATCTCTGCAGGGCTCGTGTCGGTGTAGCGCGGATCTCTGCAGGGTTCGTGTCGGTGTAGCGCGGATCTCTGCAGAGTTCGTGTCGGTGTAGCGCGGCTCTGTGTAGGGCTTGCGGCATGGGCTGTGGACAGAGCGTCAACTCAGCGTACTCCAACCGCCGCACCATGCCAGGCAGGGTGAGCAGTGTGGTCCGGACCTGACCAGGCTTAACCTAGCTGGGGTGAGCTGTATGGTCCGAGCCTGACCAGGCTGTGTGGTCCGCACCTGACCAGGCTTGACCCGACCTGATCTAGTTCAACGTGATACTCAACGTGAGACAGCTGGATCTGACCTGATCTGACCTAGTGTGAGCTCGACGTGGGACAGTTGGATCCGACCTGATCTGACCTAGTCTGATCTCAACGTAGGGCAGTTGGATATGGCTGATCTGACCTAGTCTGATCTCAACATAAGACAGTTGGATCCGACTGATCTGTCCTAGTCTGATATCAATGTAAGACAACTGGATCTGACTGATCTGACCTAGTCTGAGTTCAACGTAAGACAGTTGGATCTGGCCTGATCTGGCCTAGTCTGAACTGATCCCATTCTACCTGGGATGATCTGCTCGAACGGAAATGACACAGGACCTGACCTGACCTGACCTGATCTGACCTAACCTAGATTGACCTGACATGATTCCGTCTGGGCTGAATTGCGAACTGCACTGACACTCTCCCTATTTGCCAGTCTCTCCCCAGGCTGTCAAACTCAGCCAGAGAGAGCTGTCCTCTACTTCTAGTCAAGTCTACTTCTAGATATATGTATGACAAGGGTCTCGGGTCCAAATAGGTATTTATGCAATCTAAAAGACACCAATTCGTAAAAAGAGGCTATATATGAAGTGGCCTGGGGGGTGCGAAGTTGTTTACGTGTTATCCTTATGTGCACATCAGCAATGTCCGCTTCCCTCCCCCAGCGGACCGTGTCAACAGGTCACTAACGTAGCGCAATTCCAGACAAGTGTGACTCATGTGTGCTGCTCCATGAGCACTGCCATACCGTGTGCTGCTCCATGAGCACTGTCATACCATGACACCCAGATCAGGGGTAACCTGAATAGTGTGACCAAAGAAATGTGGCCCATGTCCGCAGCTTTAATTGTTAGGACATCTCTCTCTCTCTCTCCTCTCTCCTCTCTCTCCCTCTCTCCTCTCTCTCTCTCTCCTCTCTCTCCACCCTCTCTCTCTCTCTCTCTCCCTCTCTCTCTCATCTCCGCTCTCTCCTCTCTCTCTCGTCTCCTCTCGCTCTCTCTCCTCACTC